TTTTAAATAACAATTTTTATACGCTAAATAAGAATTTAATGATCAAAAGATTTTTTTAAAAAAAAAAATTACCTTTAACAGTATAATTGTCGATCAAAACCCATATACAGTATATTTTGAGTTGTGTTGTACAAAAAAAAATCCCCAAAATAAAAAAGCGAACTCTATAATTACAAATATTGTTTTGTTGGCCATATCTGTTTAGTCGGCAAATATAGACTAAGACCAAATCACTTTGTTCAACTTTAATAGCGCGCAACAGCTCCAGTTACAAAATTTAATAAAATCTCAAAAGTTTCATGGGGGGTGTAATTTGCTTATATAATAAAAAAATTAGTTACTTCCATTTTAGCAAACATTAAAAATAAATGAAGATAACCAAAAATAGAAATGAAGAAAATAAAGACGTGTGATTTGATAGAGATTAGAGGGGTGTTTTGAATTTGTTTTATTAAATTTATATGAATCTTACCATATAACTGTAACAAGCATATATGCACAACATTTCTTTGCTAAAAAGTAGAGATTAACACGGTCAAATTTCCTAAAATAAAATTTGAATTTACCAAAACATAACTAAAGTTAAGAATTTAATACATTAACTAACATTTCTTAAAATTTATAGTCGAAAAATATGCAAAATACATTTTACATTATGGTCTTACAAGTCGAGATAAATTTTTATTATTTGTTGATTGCCGATAAAAAGAATAATTATTTTCTTCCAAGGTTAAATCGTTTTTCTCGATTACCGGATCTTTTTTTCCGCAAATTTTATTGATAATAAGTTGAACAATTTCAATATATAGGTCACCTTTTCACACCATCATTCACTCCATTATCAACTCCAAACCATCTTTTATATTTAGATTCAGGAATGTACATTGAAAAAGTTACAAGTAAGGTACTAATGAACATTAACCACATACAAATTAGATTCGCCGTACGAATTTTACATATAGTTCGAAGCTGTGGAAATGAATATTTATAATTTGATGAACAAAGAAAAGGTACTTCACCTAATTCGTGAATTGTATAGCAAGTGTAAATAACTTTTTACAATATTGACAAAAAAAAAAAAAAAAATTAAAATTAATTTGATTTTAGTTTGAAATAATAAATTGTAAAAAAAGGTCTTACTTGGAATAGCTATCAACAATAAAGCCGAAACACTAAAAAAAATTATTTAAAATACTTCAATTTATAAGGAAATCGAAAAAGTCCAACTTATCAAAGATTTTATAATTACCCGAATTTCCAATTTAATGATTTTATTTCGTAACAATAGCAACAATAACACATAATTATTAAGAAAGCTAATTTAATTAAAAGTTATCAAAAATATGATTATGATGTTTTAGTGTTCTCATAATTATCGTTATGTACTTACAAAATTGATATGACAAAAGAACTATATATCTTGAATTACGTATGTAAATAGCAATAATTTGTTAAAACAATGATGTGATTTCTTCTTCAAATATTAGAGAGTAAACTGTACTCACAAAAGTTCTATTGGCCCATTTACTGGTAATCCATATTTTTCGAATAATTTGATTTTATAATATTCTACAATATCGCCCGTAATAAAGAGATAATGTTAGCATCCTTCCTTTCCATTAATTTTCTTTTTTTTTTTTTTTAAGAAAAAAAAAAAATAAAAATGTAAAAATTGAATTAAAAAAAATATATACATAATTCGATACATAAATTTTATTATGATTTACTTTGGTTAGAAGT